TGGGAAGGGAAGGGAGTCTACAGGAGGAGGAAAGTGCAGTTTTTAACGTATCAAGTTTGAGATGACAGACATCCAAGTGAAGATGTCAGGTTGTCAGCTGGATGTTTGAGTCTAGAATTCACAAGAAAAACCCAGGCTAGAAATAAATTTGGAAATTGTGTGTAGATGATATTAGTGCTCAGAGATCAGGAGAGACTGCTGAGACAAGGCCAGTGGACTCACCCAGGCCACTACAACACGGAGAGGTTGAGAAGGTGAAGAGGGCTCAGCAAGAGCGACCAATAGGTAGAAGGAAAGAAAACTAAGAGACTGTAGTGGTCTGGAAGCCACGTGCAAAAAGGTTTCAACAAGGAGAGAGTAGCTTGTGTTCTGTTTTAAAACAATCAGTGTGTGTGTGTGTGTGTGTGTGTGTGTGTTAGCTTGTGATCTGTTTTAAAACAATCAGTGTGTGTGTGTGTGTGTAGGAGAGTGGGGGATTAGTTGGTGTATAAATAAACAAGAACTACCACAGATTGATCACTGCTAAATCTGGGTAGACAGGAGTTCATGCTATCATTTTCCTTACTTTTGTGTGTTTGAAATTTCTCATTAAAAAGAGCGAAAACAAAAGCAAAGAATCAACAACAAAACACAGGGAATGAGAAACTTGTCAAATGCTGATGGTGCTGACAGATCAATTAGGAGAGTGGATCTGACCCTGTAGAGGGCACTGGTGGTAGTGCCAAGAGCAGTCTCAGCAGAGAGGAGCACCAGCTGGCAGTGGGTTCAAGAGAGAATGAGAGGAAAGGGTGTGGCCTGAACACGTGAAATCATCCTCTTCTAGGAATTTTGCAGGAAAGGGGAAAGAGGAATGGGTCAGTAACTAGAAGACCAAATGGCCAAGGATGGTTGCTTGGTTGAAGAGGGAGTGATTACAGCCATATTTCCTACCACTGTCCTTCACACAAGCTCTAGACCAGTGATGGCGAACCTATGACACGCGTGTCAGAGGTGACACGCAAACTCATTTTTTTGGTTGATTTTTCTTTGTTAAATGGCATTTAAATATATAAAATAAATATCAAAAACATAAGTCTTTGTTTTACTATGGTTGCAAATATCAAAACATTTCTATATGTGACACGGCACCAGAGTTAAGTTAGGGTTTTTCAAAATGCTGACACGCCGAGCTCAAAAGGTTCGCCATCACTGCTCTAGACCAACCCTCCAAGGCACCCTTCCCCAGGGTTTCTGTCCGCACCACCCCTTCCCCATCCAACCCACCATCCACCAAGGCCTAGGGCACTCCCCACCCCCTGCATCAGCCCAGCTGTATATGATGTCTCCAGGTGTGCAATTTCTACCTACATGCAGTTTTTTCAAGACATTTTTATAGCAGAGTTTTGATTGTGGTGTGGCTTAATTGGGGTCTCTGTAGCCCTCATCTTTATTGTGTATCAGAGCACACTGTGTGTTTAAACTGTAGAGCAAAACTACGCAACGTTTCCCTGGCAGCTTTCAGGAGGGAAGCAGAACTTCTACAGAAACTGTACAGTTTCTTATTCCTTTAGATCCTGGAAAACAGCATTCTTTAGTAGCAACAAGAACATCATCTTTCACTTGCCTTCTCCACTTCACTAGTAAAGACATGGCTAGAAGCACCAACTCACACCAAGTATTTATTTTTAAAGGTAACAAAGGCCTCAGCAGTTATCAAAGGACTGCTCTAGAGCAACATCAGAAACTGGGCGGGAGCAGGTGGGTAAGGGAGAAGCAGCCTTCTAGTTTAAGATGCGGCAAGCTCAGTGAAGCGGCGTTAAAAAATGAGACATGATTAGAAACACCCCTTGCCCCACACCTCCCTCAGTGTATCACAGGCACCACCTGCTTCCGATTCTTCTGTGAGACATTTCCCTCTGATGTACTCGTTTTCAGTGCAAAAGGCAAGGGAAGACTGGCTGCTTCTAATCAGGATTAAATACAAATGCATCAGCGATGGCCTCTGAAGAAGTAAGAACTGTGATTGGTACTTCAAGTATGATGAGGCTACAACTGAGGGAGACAACAGCAAACACATCTGGACTGAGTCTTGACAGCACGTACAAAAGGGCATTTGAACTTACTGCCCTAATGACGACCGAGTGCCCACCACTGTCAAACCCTGTGCTCTGGGTCACAGAGATGACACAGTCCCTTGTCTGGAGGGGAAACTGGGGGAGACCATCACAAGACAGCGGGGGATTTAGGAGGGGATCTATGATAGGAAGGCCCCCTTGATCCTGAGATTAAAGGAGGTTGAGGGTTTCTGGGTATAGAGAATAAGCATTTTGGAAAATCAAGGAGTCACACAGCTGTATCACAAAGCAGACATGAGATCGACATCTGCACATACAGGCTGAGGCCTTTAAAAAAAATATATGTTTCCATTGATTTTAGAGAGAGAGGAAGGAAAAAGAGAGGGAAGGAGGGAGAGTGGGAAACCTTGATTGGTCGCCTGCATGCACCCCTACCAAGGACTGAACCTGCAACCTGGCCATGTGCCCCAACCAGGGATCGAAGTAGCGACCTTTCAGTGCAGGGGACACCACTCAACCAACTGAGCCACCTGGCCAGGGCTCGAAGGGCCTCTGCTGTCATGGGCCAGGACCTCTCCCTGGGGAGGAAGGCAGGAGCAGGTTTGCAGTGTTAAAGGATCATTGGGTGGCAGGGTCTAAGGCAGCGGTTCTCAACCTGTGGGTCGCGACCCCTTTGGGGGTTGAATGACCCTTTCACAGGGGTCACCTAAGACCATCGGAAAACACATATATAATTACATATTGTTTTTGTAATTATATGTTATATAATGATAGTTCATGCTATCATTTATATATATGTAATATATAATTACATATTTTGTAATTATATATTACTATGCTTTAATTATGTTCAATTTGTAACAATGAAATTGAGGGTCACCACAACACGAGGAACTGTATTAAAGGGTCGTGGCATTAGGAAGGTTGAGAACCACTGGTCTAAGGGAAAAACAGTCTGTCTGCCAACCTCAAAGTTATGAAGACTAGTGACTCTCTTGGTGTGATGTGTTGTCAAATTCTGTTTTTGTGTTGTATTTGGCTATGCGTATTTCGGTACCTCGCACAGCTGAGGGTTTCATTCTATTTGGGTAGCTTTAAACATTCAGATCATTTCAATTTTTCACCTACACACCTTCTATCACAAGAGCACAATATGATCATGTTTTGTGAGGTAATCTTACTGTGGTCACCTCTGGCTATAAATGTGACCTGCAGCTATGGGACCAGGGCGGCTTCTTCCCTGAGGGTCTTCCTGCCCTGCCCCACTTGCAAGCCACTGCCTGGAATTTCAGCTATGCAATGATCCCCAACGCTGGCCCATGACAACGTTTCCACCAGTTTGGGGGGAAATGTAGCTGCAAAGGACAGTGTAGCAAGTCTTTCTTAAATCAAAATTTGTTCTGTGTAAAGGTGTGTCCTTCTAAATTATGCCCTCCTTCCTTTTTGGTGTTAAGATTTCCTTTATTTTATGAAATGATGGCAACGGAATTTTTGGGAAATATCCTTTAACAGAATAGCAAAACAGCTGCAATCCCAGATCTGTGCACTGATTTTTGGAAATGTGAACTCTCTGAACACCCTCCCACGAGTGCCCACCACCACCTCCCTCCACCACCACCTCCCTCACTGTGCACAGTGGTCGCCTGACACCAGAGTCCAGTCAGCGGAGGGCACATCCGGTTCACCAAGACTGACACTGCCTGCCAGAGCGGACAGCTAACTGTGCAACAACCAGGACAATGTTGGCCCAGTGTATAATTTTATCACTTATTTCATCCTAATTACATCTTTGGAATTTAGCATGAAAATTTTACATTTTTCATGGCCTCCACATCATTCAGATTTAAATATTGTTAAGAAGGTAGTAAGGTAAGGTCCTAAACATGTAGTTACCTCCTGTTTCCCAACTTCATCTCCTTATTTGGGAGAGAGGCGTTAGATGCCTATTACCCAAGAAACAACTCCTGGCCTGAAGCCTTTAGGAGAGTCCTGTGTGATTCATCAGGCGCTGGAGGCAGGAAGACCTGTGCTTGTGTCTCGTGCACAACTTACTAGCTGTTGCCTTAGGTTATGTAACCCTCTGAATCTCAGGTTCCTCAACTACAAAATGAGGTTTATAACGGTACCTACCTGCACAGAGTGGCTGTATTTAGGGTAGTCTTGGTGCTTGGTAAATATTCAGTAACGGCAATATTGCTTTAATCGTGAATATAGGCACTTAAAAAGCACTGTCTTTAACACAATCATGTTAGACCTGAAAAGGCTCTTTTGGTTCATCTGGCCCAATCCTGGCGTCCTGTAGCTGGGGGAGGGGGAAACGAGGTCTGGAGAAAACACAGAACGGATGTGAGTCACAGCCTAGCCCAGGGTTTTCTCCACCACATTCTTTTTCTCCTCCTGAAAGTATTTGGTCCTTGACTTTCCAGGTTTTTTGGCCAGAAAGAACTATATATGTGGTTCAAAATAGTGGCATCATTTAAACATTTAAAAAATGACAAATATGATACTACAAAAATGCATAGTCAACAATACAAATTGGTAGGTCATTACTTAATCATTTTAGAATATTCATTGCTGAGTATTCTGAAAGAATTAAATGCATTAAAAAATAATGTAACAGAATATCTACCATATAAAAGAGTGCTAAAATAAGGTGGATGAATAGATTATACTTAAAACCATATAAAGATGAGTTTTCCCACACTCCAAAAACAAAAGGTGCAAACTATATCCCCCAATGCCATTCAAATTTCTTGGTCTCTCAGAAAGAAAAATAGAGGATTTTCCAAGTCTTATGCTAATTTTTAGAATGTGACACAACCACATAGATTATGTTGGGTCTGGCTGACAGCAGCAGAATCTGATGCCAGTAATAGAAGGGGCATAAAAGCATCAGTTAAATAAAAAGATACAAAGACATCATCACAAGTAACACAAAGTAGATACACTTTCTGTTATTTTAAGTCAGTAGTTTTATTACAATTCACACTGACACACATCAGAGAAGGAATGTCTGACATTTTCTGAGCATTTCACAGAAAGCAAATGTAACCATCCAGGTAGTCGAGTCATCCACATCTTTCCAAACACAATGCAAAAGCTTTTATATGTGATAACTCAGAAAAGCAAAATTTTCTATTCTTATCTACAAAACTTCAGTGTCAAAAATGGGTATTGTGAAGTGGGCTGAGAAGGGAAGTGTTTCCCTCCTGATGTTCCAAATCCTGGCTCCAGGTCCCACCACTCCCCTCCACGCTGACTTTTTAGATGACTCTTTATGATACTGCAGGTGGTAGTGTGTTCAGGGGCCACATGGGTTTACGTATAAGGCCAACTATTACACTTCACTATCACTGAAGAGAAAGGAAAGACTAAGGGAGTTAACTGCTGGAAAATGCACAAAGGCAAGGAGAAAATATCTGGGTGTATTAAAAATGAGATGCTCTTTTCACATAACTCATTTAAAAGGTTACAATTACCATAAACATTTAACTCCATTAAAGATCACTGGCAAAAGCTTGCTCTTAAATCAGAAGGGCTCTGCATTTACCCAGGCTCGGGAGAAAGCAACATATGATGTGAAAAGTCACTAATCCTGGTGAAGGAGCCATCAGACTATTTGGAGTTGCATAGACGATTTTTAGATCCGTTTTGTAGAAGACACTATGGAACCTTGACAAATTTCCATCTTTCTAGTCATGTGACAGTTGGGTGTTTTAATCCCTTCAGCACCCAAACACACAAGAGCATACCTAAAGTGACATTTTGGATAAATTCACTATACATTACATAACTCGGGGACAACAAAGGAGAGCACCTGAGCATGACGCTACTACTTCATATAGAAAAGCACTGCAGGAGAAAACTTTGTTTAAAAACATCTAAACCCAGGTGAATGTAAATACATTTTTGGTTAACCTGTGCTATCACATATACAAATCCTGTCAGATATTCAGTCTACTAGGTCAGTCATTTGGATTTTCATTTCTGACTGCATTAGTAGAAGAATATACACTGCTGCATATACTCACATATATATATATACATGCAGAGACATGTATAAAATTCAGGTCATGAAAAAAATTTAAAATACACATACTTAAAACCTGTATCTCTAAAAATAAATACATTAGCCTCTAACCGGCTAATTCTCAGTTCCTTCACAAACCAATCAGAACATGGTTTCTCAACAATGGCAGATGACCAATTAGCTGCTCTTTAAACCCATTATCTACCAGTAAACGTTATAAAATTCAGACATACAACAGAAATAACATTCCCAGAAGAAAATGTACATAGAATCCTGGCTTTGAAAAGAAATGTCTTGGCTTCCTTGATGTTTAGTTCCTACAGGTGCCTGCTCTGTGCCTCTGCGTCACATGGCAGTGGGAGAGGAATTGTGGTGACAAGCATGCTCCCTTCTCCACTCACACCACTTCCTAATCATGGGAGTCAGCTGGCATTTCTTTTGCTGTTCTGTTCGAGGGAACTCACACAGCATTGCTTGTGTTTGATATCACTCCTATAATCACAGTGAGTTTTGTGTGTTCACGTAATTTACAATGTGCTGATACCACTGAGGTAAAGCAGGAGCCCTGGCGTTTAAAAAAATGTCTCCCAGGGAACAACAGGTAAAGGGTCTGGTGGTGTAGACCTAGGTTCTATGAAGAGACTCAAAGCCACCACCAGGATGGACACACTGGCGATCTGACATTGCAGCTCAAACCACAGAGGCAAATGCAGAGAGATACTCAGTGCTCTTCCTTAGAGAGGATGCAGTTCACAAAACGGAGCTTTCCTTTTTCCTTCTACATGTCCACAAACAATTCTTAAAATGATAAAGCCAGACCACGTTGTTTAATGTATGCATTACTTAACAACCTTGTCATTTGTTTTTGAATACAAGAATGTCAGATATGGAGAAAATCCATGATAAAGGATAGGAAGAATGTTTAATGCCACTGCCTAAATTTTTTAAAAGGAAAATTTACCATAGCTGAAATACAACTTCTAAAAAATACAGTGTTCTAGGCGCTCACAGTTCCAGATTGATAACTTTATAAGTTAAAGGTAGAAGTTATCCATATATAAACAAGGCCTCTTTTTCATTGATTTCAATCTTGTTCAAACCTTTGGATATTTCAATCTTCAGATTCCACAAGGTAAGGCTGGGTTTATCAAATATAAATAAAATGTTTAAATCCATGATGTATTTATTGTAGCACTAAGAAAACAAATGAGTCAAATATTTACAGCCTGGCTACAATACTTTTCTTTAAAAAAAAAAAAATTCAAATGTGTATCAACATCAAGCCACATTGTTTGTTGAATTTCTCTGGCTGCAAATACAGCATTTTTCCTCATTCATCTCTCCTCTCAATCCTGAAGTCAGAGGCAGGACTTAGGTCAAAGGGCGCTGTCTTTTGGGAGGTGGTGGAGGCATGAGCTCCGTGTCAGGATCCAGATGATGCTTTCGTTTCTGTCCCTGAGAAGCTGCACATCTGTCAATGAACTCAAACAGAATCTCCTTGGTGACAGGGTTTGAGATGCTGTTGCACACAGCTGTGGACAAAGGGAGACACATCTCATGTAAGGGTTAATTAAGGCAGTGGAGTCACCACAGGGAGATGAGAAAGGGGACAGGTTTCCCTCCCATTATGCTAAACACCTCCACTTTACTGACTTAAGTGGCATGCTTCGGATTAAACTATTCTCCTCCCTCTCCCACCCTCCAAAAGAGTTTTTCCAGTAGCTATTCATTACTATACTATTAATTTTAAACCAAAACTTTAAGTACTTGGGTTATAAGCATGTATTCACTATAGTTTTCTGTCCCCCCACATAGTTCTTACAGGATTTTAACCTAGCATAGTGCATCACATTATAGACCATACTCAACTAAAATTTCTACAAAAAATATGTGCTACAGTCCACTCTTTCTCAGAAAACAGTCCACACTGAGAAATATATAGCTCAGCATCAGCCACCATTCCCACTGAATGGGCAGGTTTCACTGTAGCTGGTAGGTAATATTATTTTAATAACTTGTTTGAAGTAAAATAACTAATTTAAAAAAGCAAATTTTCTTATGTGATCAAAATTTAGTACCAGTCCTTTTAATTGTATTTACCAATTTGGTTTTTTGCGGGGGGAAAGATACTGGCTTAATTATTCCAATTTTCAGAATTAAGTCATCTTGTTTGAACTTATCTGCTAGTTCCAACAAGAACCTTTAAATGTATAAACAGTAACTTTTAAGCTGCAAAACTCTAACTGGCAATTTCTACATTTTCTCATAAGCTTATCGTTAATCATCACCACCACTGACTGAGCACTCTAGAAGTACTCGATTCTACTCACCTTTAATCTTGGTTTTTATATTTTTTTCCAACTCCACTAAAAATGCAATACAGGGCAACAACAGCCACTACTAGTTTACCTTATGAAGTTGTGTTGTTGCCCATGACAGAAACTCACTATTCTTAATTCCCAAAGCATTCATATTGTACCCAAAGAACATTCTAAATGATAGCAGAGCAGGTGCAGCGGTTGCCAACTGGTTGGTGACCGCTGGTTTAGGGTGTTGTTTTTTTTAGCAGCTTTCATTTACTTTGTTCTCCATTGTTTGTAGAGCTATTTTAGGAGCTGGAAATTACATTTCCCCCTGCTAATTTAGTCTTTTACCATCTGGTAAACAATGGTTATAGTTTTTAATAGAACTGAAATTATCATGACTCTTATTGTTATTGTTCAATAAATTCAACTTGTATACAGCCCATTATCCTGCCCTTTAAACTTCCCTCTTGGACACACGGCACAAACCCACAAGTCTATCTAAAGAGGAGAACCTACAAACCAACCAGAGCCGACCAGGGGGCAGACCTGGCACAACCTGATCCCAGCGAGCAAGGACGGGATCCAATGACTCTGCCCATCAAGAACAAGAGAGACAGTGCATTTTGTTGGTAATGTAACAAGCATTGGTAGGTTGCCACACTCACCCATGGCAGTGTTGTAGGCATTAGGAAAACTTTTGTCTGTTCTCTGTCTCATGAAGACCCAGCTGTTGTTCTCAAATTTGCATTCTATAATTTTGTTGTCATACTGTTTTAGGTCTTTTGTCACCTGTTTTAAAAGAGAATTGAGGATAATATTTAAAACGTTTGAAAGGATTTTAGCTTCCACTATGTGACAGACACATTAGGAAATGCCAAAAACATCTCAGGAACTCTCCATGCAGACCTCTTCGTCATCTGGGATGTCTAACCAAACCTAAGGCTATGGTACATACGCCCTTGTACATATGCTCATTAATGCGACATTTTATAAATAATTGTGAAAAACAGCTGTCGATATATAGTAATTAAAGGAAGCTAAGCAAAACCAGCCACTTTGGGGCCAAAGGCAAATGTGTTACCATAGGAATCAATGTCTTCAATATTGTCTGTGTCCCTATGGCTTTCAGAAATTGAATCTGTTGCTTACATTTCATCAACTTTCAAAAAGGTCTTACCATCTAAATTCCTATGTCAAAACCTAAAAAATGCCATTTAAAAGAAAAAGTTACACATAAAAAGTAACATTGGAATCACATTCAGGCAATGTGCATCCTAAATATCTTGCTTTTCAGGCAGTGATAATTAACCAAAAATCTAATCTTTAGGCTATTTATTACCCTTTCCAAACTAGTATGAGGTTAGAGATGAAGCTACTTTTGATTTTACTTGGTAGATTTTTTGGCTACTTCACCTCAGATGATTAAATATGGATTACAACTTACTCCATCAAAGCTAACAAGTATCCATGGTAACTATAAAACCTTTTAAAAGATATTTCATCAGACTGTGAGGATGGTTTTCATAAATAGGAACCTAAGCTTATCTTTGCAGTTTTCAAATCAAATGCCAGTCATGGTAATATTTTAATTCTGTCCTCATCTTTCCCAGCTAACAACTTTTCCTCACAATATGGTAGATTGCAATCATTTAACTTCATTAGCATTATTTGAAATGCTCTCATTTTTCTACCCACATATTCACTACCACCTAGGAATATGAAGGGAAGCAAATTTAAAAGATGCTTTCAATTCACAGATTAGGCAGTGCATGTCTTCATAAAAGCTTTCAAATTGTATTCTTCTTCCCTTAATGAGTATTACACTTGATTGGACTATTTGCATTTTCAACAAATCCAACAGGTCCAGTACATTCAGTGGCTCTGGAACCAGACCTGCCCAAAACAGTGATATTCCACTTAACAAACTTGCTAAATTAATTCTCAAATATTCATTGTTCTAGTCTCAATTTTCCCCTGGTCCTTCATAGGGATCCACCTCTTTTAATTTGATACATTATCTATATTCAAGTATTAGGCAACTAATTCAGTGAGGAAACCCAGTTATGTTAAACCATATGTAGGATCAAACAGAAATAAGTTTCTAAACCTTTCATAGTTTCCATTTTCTAATTTCTAAAATGGGCAAAGGATTCCTAATTTACTGAGATTCTGGAAAAATAATAAGTGAAAGTGCCTGGCACATAGTTGCCAACTGGTAAACTTCATAATTGAATATAAAACTGGGAAGTGAAACATTGCTTATTTTAAAAAACTACCTTACAAGGAAATTCATGAAAGAAACCAGGATAACATGGAAAAATACACTTTGGAAACAGCTGTCAAGAAAACTGTACCATATGCATTCTATAAGAATGGTTTACTACCCACAATATGCAGTCTGTACTTTTACTGACTAGCAATTGTAGTCAGTCTTTATCATTTGGCTAATCATTCTTGTGTTCCTGGTTTCAGAATTGCTATAAATTATGTGTTGCTCAATCTGACTACAGCAATTAAGCACTATTATTAAGTGTCTGTGAATGTACTTGGGCATGCAGTAACAATCCGGAAAACAGAGCTTTTCAGAAAATGCATACACCTCCACTACACTAACCTAACCTTATTTCCATGTTCAAGAACACCACATTGTCCATGATCACACCAGTTATATTGCCAAGACATACCACTGCAAGGTACTCAATTGGTCAGGTGGTAAAATATATTTAACTGGTAAAAATAATATCTCCCATAGGTGCACAAATTAAGCCAGTTTTCACTAATGGTCAGATCAAGACAATAATTGGCATATAGAGGAGGAGCTTAACTTTACTATCCAAATTCTAATTTGTTACTATGACAATAATCATCCTCAGCCTATTACATATTATTATTTACTAAAACAGGACTCCATTAGGACTTCTATAATAAACTCTGGTTATCCTAATCTGAGTTAATAAGAAATTGGAAATAATAAGAATAAAATGTTTATAAATCAGGATTTCACATCTGTACCTACAATTACATTTAACTAATTATATTTTATTGTTGTTTTAAAAAAGAAGAGCAATCGACAGTGTATTTTATATTGAAATATTTTTTCATGTGCCCATTTTATTGAGTACCACACTCTTAATACTATTTGAATCTACCAATAACCTGGGGTTAATAGACAGTCAGATGAAAGTGAATCTAATACCTCTGAAGATTTTAAATTCGCAGCCCAATGATAATACCTAGAATGCAGGGTCTAAGGCAGGTAGAATCACAGTTGCTCCACTCTGCACTGTTTTACAGAATACTTTTTGTAGTCTAGGTGGCTGGGCACACTACCAAGTCACAAAAGGCAAACTATCAATGTTGGCTAAACTGACCTGTGTGGATCCTGAGAAAGAAAACACCTACTAAAAAGGGCTCCCGGTAGCTAGATAACTGGGCTGAAACAAAAATAAATAAATAAATAAAAACCTCCAGCGTACTAGCCATTTCTACACAGGGGCCTTTCATGCAAACTGCACTTTAGGGAGAAGCCTGCACTCTACTGCCCACCTGCACTGTGTTTCTGCCATCTGATTCAGCCCTTATAAAGGAGTTCCTGGAATCCTTTTTCAACCAATAAGACTGAGGCTTTTGCCATCCATCAAAGCTGCACAACTCCCACCAGCTTCTTCACTGACCAATTAGAGTGCCTCCTTTCTGACCAATCAAACTGTGAGAATTTGGAGAACTCATTTGCATGAGGACAGACCAATCAGGGACCAGGGTTGGGGACTTCTGTGTATGTATGTCAGCTCCCCTTTGGCTCTGGGAGCATACTCTTTCCCTTTCCACTGAAGACTGCATTTCCCTGGCTGGAGCTGAAACACCAAAGATGTCTCACTGAAGCAGGGCAGAGCAGACTAGCATCGAGCAGAGTAGAGCTGTCTAGCTCAGTGATTTTCAGTCATTTTCATCTCATGACACATATAAACTACTAAAATTCTGTGGCACACCAAAAAAAAAAATGTATTTTTTTTGCCAATCTGACAAAAACAATAGGTATAATTTTGATTGTGTTGGCTGTTGCCTTTTTTTAAATTTGATAATCTACAGGAAAAGAGGTCGGTGCCCCTGACTAAATAGTCAGGTATTACATGTTTTAAAAATTCCTGGGGCACACAAGTTGAAAATTGCTAGTTTAGCTAGAGAGGGGCCTAGCCCCAGGGTTATCTCACATGTATCACAATCGATCTGTTTGCACTGAATAAAGTTTCCTTCTTCACTGCACCCCAAATTGGGGATTCTTGTTGGGGCTGAATTGGTGCCAACAACCATGGGTTGGCACCTGCACAGAGCAGGCAAAGACACGTTGCTATTTCTAGTGGGACAGAAGCCTCTAGAACTTACTGCCCTTGCTCTGTGCCAGCTGTTTTCTTATCAAGAGCTCATCCTTCTTTTAGAGAAACTGCACAGAGGCTTGAGGGGAGGGAGATTTCTCTGAACTAATTTGCTCTGGAGACACTTTAAAATAATAAAAATCCTTAGAATTGGAAAGGCACCAGTGAGTTGTGGTTGTTTTTTTTTTTTTTTTTTTACTTTCAATTTTGAAATAATTTTAGAGTCACAGAAAAGTTGCCAAGGTAGTATAGAGTTCCAGTATTTCAGTCACACCTAATGTTCATATTTTACAACACTATTAACTAAACTACAGATTTTATTCGGACTTCATCAGTTTGTCCATTAATGCCTTTACTTGTTCAAAAATCCAGCCCAAGAAACCTCATTGCATTTAAGTGTCATGTCTCCATGTTCTCTTCTAATCTGTGATAGTTTTTCAGACTGTCCTTGACACTCTAGGAGAGTACTAGTCAGATATTTGTAGGATGTTCCTCAGTTTGGGGTTTTCTGATGATTAGACTGAGGTTATGGATTTTGGGAGAAAATGCAAGAGAGGTGAAGTGCATAATATCTGGGGGTATAGGTATCAACATTGTTTATTACTGGTGATGTTTATCCTGATCACTTTGTTAAGATGGTATCTGCCAGGTTTCTCTACTGTAAAGTGACTATTTTTCTCCCTTCCACACTCTATTGGTTAATTACTAGTCACCATGCCCAGCCCCACTCAACAAAAAGGGAAGTAAGCCCCACCTCCTGGAAGGAAGGGTATCAAAGACTATGTGGACATTTGCTAAAACTACCACAGAAATTAATAAGTTTCTCTAGAGCTATTTTAAGGCTATACAAATATTCTGTTTCTCCTTAATGTTTCACTCATTAATTTGAGCATTCATCCGTGAATCCTGCCTACAGCAGTCTTTACTGTGGTATCCTAATGGAATATTCTCCTTTATCCATTCCTTATACATTTATTACTTAGACTTTCTGTAAGGAAGACCTATCTCTTCTCCCTCATTTATCTGCTTATCTATATCATTACTGACTCATAGATATTTATTTTATTCGTTTATAATTAAATACTATTGTCATTTATTTTGTTGCTCAAATTGTTCCAGTTTTGGCCCTGGCTACTCTCTCAGGTTGACTCCTGTGTCCTTTTAACTTGCTTCCACTTTCACTTACAAAATAAATATGTTTTTGGCATTTACTTTCTGTCAACACAAGATATTACTCCAGGCTCATCTGGTGTTTTCTCTGCTCCCAGGTCTAGAGTCAGGCCTGGGGCCCTCTACCAGAATTTTATAGTCCACTACGAAACAGTCCACTACAAAAGTATTGCCACTACTTGTTTTAATCAGAATTTAAAATTATTTTTGAGAGAAAGAGAGGGAGGGAGAAAGAGAAGGAATGAA